TGGGCTTAGGCATCCACCACCACACCGGGGTGGGGGTGGGGCAGGGGGGGCACGCTGACTGCCTCCAGAGGCCCCGTTGCCTTTCTATTCCGAGCCTTCAGTGTTTCCGAGGTGATTTACCTCCTGCATGTGTGATCAAGGTGACCTCCGGAACTTCCGTTTATATTAAAATGCAACCAGACCAAGTTCGGTGTCAGAGCTGACATTACGCAGCGAGCGTGGAAGCGACCGTCACAGGACAGGGCCCAGAGGTGCAGGAGGCCCTCAGCAGGTGATGGCGCAGCGGGTAGGGTGGGGGCTCTGTCCATCTGAGACTTTCACGTTGAGACCAGCTTTTACAAGTGGTGACAAAGAAGGGTTTGTTTTGCTTTTTATGGGTGAGGAGCGTGTGGGGAGATGAGCGGCTCTGGGATGAGCCCGCTTAGCAGTGTGGTGAGACCTGTCCGAGGCCTGAAGAGAGGAGAATCACAGGCGCCGCAGTTGCCACTACAGGGTGCTCGGCCTCGAGCCATTTGTAACACACGCGTGGAAATCGGGAGTGACATGCGCCGACACCAGCTGGGGAATACGACGTGGCCCCCCAGAAGCTGGAATGCTCGACTGTCGAGAATAGCATCTTGTTGAAATATATTTAATGCCTCAGGAGATGTTGATGATATAATGTTAAATGGGGGAAAAGGCAAACTATGAAAGAGGCTTAGAGTATAAACCCACCCTTGGCAAACAGGTGCACAGAGGCACGCGTGGGCTGGAAAGGGAGAGACACACGAATAAGAGGCGTGGTTTTCTCTCTGTGGTAGGCTGATGGCAGACGTTTCGGTCACTCTGTGCTTATCTATCACTGCTAATGTTTCTACAATGGCTATGTATTATTTGTAAAATAAAAAACAATTCGGTTTCTTTCAAGGAAGAGCTAGACCACCCAGGAAGGACCCTTCGGAATGGAGACACGGTCGGTTAAGATCTCCTACAAAGTCTTCTGATGGAAAGCACCTTGACCTTCCTGTTTCCTGGGAATGACCCGCGAAGTCACGCTCTGTCCACGTGTTCATCCAGACGAAGGGGGCGAGTGGACTCCGTTAAAGGGAATAGGAACCATTAAAATGGCTTTATGTTTATGGCCATGAGTGGCGCTGACTCAGTATGTATCTTCCCATCACTTCCCCGGATCTCTCCACCCCACCCCTCTCCTGGATGATTACAGTGGCCTTGGAGTGTAGCAGGAGGCCCCCGCCGTCTATTCTCAACAAGCCAAAACTGTCCCTTTAAAATATTACTTAGGTCATGTCGCTCTTATGCAGAACTTTCCGGTGTTTTCCCATTTCCTTCAGAGCCAAAGTCAAAGTCAGTGGAACGCAAGGCCCCTACAGAACCTGCCACTGCCCCCCCCCCACATCCTTCCCCCCTCACTTCCTGGGCTCGGCCACACTGGTTCCCAGCTCTTCACACGTGTACACTCTTGCCCAGGGCCTTTGCACTTATAATGTTCCCTGCCATTCCCTCAGCTCCCCCACCTCACAATTACCTCCTCAGACACTCTCCCTACCCCCACCCCATGTTCCTTATCACCTTTCCTCTGCTGTATTTTTCTCTCCAGCACACTTATCATCAACTTCCATGCCATGTACTTGACTTGTCATGGTCCGTGTCTTTCTGCCGGATGGCAGACACAGGAAGGTAAAGAGAGTTGGCATATCCAGGGCCCTGCAGGCTGGGCCAGGGGCCTTCCTTACCTGTGCTGTTTTGTGTTATTCTTACAAAAACCTATGGAGTCATTCGTCCCTCATTCTACAACATCATTCTGTCACTCTCCCCGTTTTACGCAGTACCCAGCAGGCTCGGAGAGAGACGTAACGAGCCATCTGTCCAGGCCACAGAGCGAGAGGCAGAGTGGGGCCCGGACCTGAGCGTTCTGAATGCAGAACCCATCTCCTCTACACCCTTGCTTCTCACGGTGTGGACCCCAGACCGGCAGCATCAGTACCATCTGGGAAATGGCTAGAAATGCAGAGTTTCAGGCTACACCCAGACCTGCTGAACCACAGTGAGCATTTTAGTAAAACTTCCCAAGTGACCCCAGTGCCCACGGAAGTCTGAGAAGCTCGGTGCTATGCTATGCATATGGAACATGGGGCCTCCCTCTGAACCAGGGGCTGCCCGCAGGCTGGGTGGGTTCGGCCTTGGGTTCTGTGCCCAAATAGGTTGTAGCCCTGCCCGCTCTCCCCACACCCCGGAGCTCCTCTGTATCTGATCGGTGCAGCCGGCTAAGCTGTTGGCCCCCCAGTTCCGCTGCCCCGCGGGCCCGGGGGGAGAGCCGTTCCCCGCTGGTCAGTGAAGCTCGGCGCCAGCCTCTGTCCAGGAGGCAGACCCGTTGTGGACACAGCCGCCTCTCCTCGGAGGAAAGTCTTAGTTCTCGTAGGCGAACCGGACCTCTTCTTCTCCAGAGCCTGTGAGGAGACCCGCCGGCACCCCAGGGGCAGCGCTGAGCCGTGACTGAAGTTGCCTCCACTTGACCCGAGCACTCAGGTCGGGGTGTTGTTAAAACACAAAACAGTGCTCGCTTCAGCAGCACATATACTGACATTGGAACGACACAGAGAAGATTAGCACAGCCCCTGCGCAAGGATGACACGCAAATTCGTGAAGCACAAAACAAAACCTACTTTCAATGCAAGTATGAATGCCTGGATGCCCACCCTGACACCCATTCTTATCACTCAGAGCTATTTTCAGACCTGACATTTAGGAGGAAGGGCCTGGAACAAAACCAGAAATCCTCACTCCCAGGCCCGTTGAAGACAAGAGTAGGCACATCGCAGCCCACGTGCTGTGAAAAAGCCAATTATAAGAACACACCAGCAGAGGGCGCTGGGCCCCCATCAGTCCCTGCCCACCTCTCCCTCCGGAAGGAAAAGCAGCAAAAAGTGCAAGAAGGCCTATCGGATGAGACCGGGGTCTACACCGTGGCTCCTGCCCTGGCATCGTTGGAACGTGGTGGGTGCCCACAGGGTAACCAGTGGTCTCCCCTTGGGTAATCGGTTCCAGTATCTGGAATTCACAATGAAGCGACCTTCATTCATTCCTTCACGCACTCAACCGGCACTTGTGGGGCATCTGCTACGACAGGGCACAGGGCCAGACCTGGGGTCGGGATATAACGCGGTGCTGCAACAACAGTTAGATGCAAAGGCTAGGCCCCCAAAGCCCTTCAAGGTTGTGCTATAAAGGAAATAGAACTGAGACCGTTTTCTCTCCCGGGCTCAGAACAGGCACAGGGGAAGGACAGTGTGGAGCAGAGGGAGAACCTGTGGGAAGAGGAGGAGGAGGAGGAGAGAGGACCCCAGGAAGAGGAAGGGAAGTGGGGCTCCAACCCCTGCCTGCTGTGTATAAAACATGGGGCCTTGAAGGTCGTCTTGGGCACCCTCCCATCGCCCTTTCTGGACCCCTCTCTCCAGAGCCTCGGGACCGCGTGGGACACCGCCAGGACTGCACGGGGCGGCCTGCTCTGCCCACTGTGGTGCCATCTCCGAGTTTCCTCCGTGCTGGTAGGACATCGCCCACTGGACTACTGCGCCCTGACGTGTGGCAGACTGGCCCTCCTGCCTGCCCGCATCCATGTCTAATGGGTTCATTTCCAGGAGGCCGGCTGCAGCAAAGCCTGGGGCTCTCACACCACCGGAGGAGCTAGCAGGAGGGACTTCTGGGGGCAAGGGTCATTGGCCAGTCAAGGATTTTCAGGTCCTAAGTCTGGGCGATTTTGATTGTGACCGTGACTTCGTGTGTATAATTCAGTGTGGACGAGGCCGGAGGGAGACGCTCACTTCAGGGGGAAAGGATGCGTTGCAGGGCTGGGTGCCGCACAACCTGGAGGCAGGAGAAAGGGCCTCCAGGTGCCTGGGCGTGCACGGCCCCCACCTGGGAGCCTGGCCCCCTGAGCCGCCCGCAGCCCGCGGAACTGCCCAGCACGGTTCCCTGCTGGTGCCCGGCCCCCGACGGCCCTGCCCGGAAGGTCTGGGGCTGCCTCTCCTCCAGCGCCTGCCAGGGGACGTGAGTGCAGGCTGAGTGACGTGGGTGGGACAGCTGTACGGGGCCTCGGCCGAGGCAGGCCGTTCATTGCAGCCCGCAGTGGTGTAACAGTGGTGCTTGGCTGAGCCTCTGCGCCGGGCTGCCGCGTCCCCGTCAGCTGCCTCCTCTGCCCCCCGAGGTCCCCTTGTCATTTCTCTGATAGGGCGCTGGCTGTGCAGGGTCTGGGCCAGGAGGGGGGCCCCCCAGGCCTGGGTGTGGTAATGGGAAAACCTGGGCACCTGTGCCCGCGGAGGAGTTGACCGCCCGCTCCGCCCAGCCTGGGTCACGTTGCCTTTGCCGACGCTGTTCTCAACTCCTGTTCTGCCTCAACCTCCCAGCCTCGGTGGCGGTGGCGACAGAAGTCACTCTAGTGGCTGCCTGTAGGGCGGGGTGCCAGGGAAGGCCCCGGGGAGACTTCTGGAGAGGTGACGAGGTCCTGTCCCTGGCTCTGGGTGGTGCTGATATGGGCGTGTGCCCGTGTGCAAAGTCCTCCTCAAGCCGCAAACGTAGGAGGGGCGCTGCTTAGGACAAGTTCGGTAGTTCCTCCAAACTTGGCATGAAGTTACCGTGTGACCCAGCAACTCCAGTCCCAGGGAGATGCCCTGAAGAACCAAAATACCTGTCTTTGGTTCTTAACAGCTGCTCTTAACAAGACAGAAACAACTCAAATGTCCGTCCGCTGGTGATGAAAAGATAAGCGACAGGCGGTCTAGCCGCACAACGGAGCATCATTCAGCCATAAAAGGGAACAGAATAGTGACACATGCTACAACGTGGATGAACTTTGGAAACACACTAAGTGAAAGAAGCCAGTCACAAAAGACCACATGTGGTAGGGTTTCCTTTATTTGGGTTTTTTGTTTTGTTTTTATTTTTTAATTAATTTTTGTTACAGATGTTTCTCCTTTTTCCCCCACTGACACCCTCCTCCCGATCCCCAGTAGGGTTTCATTTATATGAAAAGTCCAAATAGGCAAATCTACAGAGAGAGAAAATAGGTTAGTGATTGCCAGAGGCTGGGGAAGTGGGGACTGACCGCTAATGGGTGTGGACTTTCTCTGAGGGCTGATGACAATGTCCTGGAATTGGTGGCAATGGTTGTACAACTCTGAATGTACTAAAACGGACTGAATTGTACATTTGAAAAGGGTGAATTGCGTGGTATTTTACTGATCAAAAAATTGATCAGTCTGTATACTTATGATGTGTGCCCTTTGCTCTATGTATATCTTACTACATTTTTAAGAGTTTACTTAAAAAGTGAAGGTGCCACTTACTCTGTTGCTCTGGCTCAGAGTAAGTGGCACCTTCTTTTTAATCCTTACCCAAGGATACTTTTCCATTTATCTTTAAATGGAGTGGGAAAGAGACAGAGAGAGAGAAACATTGACGTGAGAGAGACACATCGATTGGTTGCCTATTCCACGACCCTGACCAGGGCCAGAGATAAACCACAACTGAGGTACATGCCCTTGACCGGAATCGAACCCACAACTCTTTGGTCCTCGGGCTGACACGTTGAGCCAAACCAGCCAGTTCCTGCCACTGGCCCAGCAATAAGGGCCACCTCCTCTATGAAGGCTCCTGTCCTGAGCTCCTTTAGCATGTAATGTTAACACTCCACCTACTTATTGCTCCTAAAGCCTGGCCACCCCCATGTGGCCCGGGAACCAGCGTCGCTGCATCACTGGGGAGCTTGTCAGATGAGCAGCAGCTCAGGTCCCCCAAGCCTGCCAATGAAGGAGGAGCCAGGCTGCAGGTGTGCTCGCCACCGTGTTGAGGGTGGAAATGGTGTGCCTGGTTAGCATCCTCTCCACAGCAGACTCCAATGTTACAGCCGAGGGCCTCACCCCCGGCTGGCATTCGAATCCCCTGCAGCCCACCTGAGGCTGGCTGAGGCTCCGTCCTGCAGGAGGCCTGGGGCTCCAGCGGTTGCCAGTGCTCCTGGGTGATTCGGCCGGAGTGAGGTGCTTGAGTCAGGCAGGCGGAGTCAGGATTTCGCTGGTCTGCTCACATTTGAATATAGCGAAGTAAACATGCCGGGAAATGTGGCTGTCAGGTAAGTGACAAATGGAGTTGATAGGTGAGGTTCTGGGTGTCGACTTTATTCTGTTTGATGAGTCACTTGAGGTCATTGGAGCCACTGTGTCCAACCTGAGTCACCACTCTCTGGGCCTCGGGGTGTGGCTAAGGTCTGAGTAGGCCGGAGGTGGCTCCGGGAGCTCAGCTCTGTGGGCTCCCCTGGCGGCAGGTTTTGGTAGAGCAGCACAGACCCAGCACCACGGGTAACAGCTGGTCAGCAGAAGTCAGTCTGGATACAGTTGGGGGCAGGGAAAGCTGTGAGGTGGCAGAGAAATCAGCCTCCTGCCAAGTGCCAGTGCCAGGCTGTGAGTCAACCCAGGAACACCCGCTGCTGAACCTGCGGCACCAAGCCCAAGCCCACGTTCCATCTCCAGGGAAACCAAGCCCCTCCCCTCGCGATCCGGGTCCCACGCCGAATAGTGAGTGACCTTCATCGGTACCACCGCGGAAGGTTAAACTGGCTAATGGACAGGGGACAGAGAGATTCAAAGTAGACGTGTCTAGCTAGCCACCTGCTCCCTGGCATGGGGCGGGGGTTGGGGGGGTAGTTACTTAGTCATCATGACACATTATGGGAAAATGGGATTCAAGTTTCCAAAATCCCCTTCTCTGGTGGTCGCTGCGACACAGAGCAGGTCCCCTCACTGCGACCTGCTCGCTGAGTGGAGGTGGGGTGGACGCTCCTTAGCCACCGCAGGTGCTTCTTGGCCTCTGTGCTGGTCTAGCCAGGGCCTCTTTTAGGGCCATCTTGGCCCGGAGGGAAGGTCTCTACTTCCCCCCACCCAGGGTTTGTGACTAAGCTGACCTTCTGCCATGGCCTCCTTCTGCTCTGTCTCCATCTGCTCCGGGTGTGGGTGTGACCCCTCCCTTGGGCCTTCCCTCTGCTCGGCCCCGCCCACACTTATCTGCTTCCACCAGACTTGCTGGGCATTGCTCTCGGCTCCCTAGCACTGGGGTCCTCTGGCTTGGCCTCTGTCAAGGACGCTCCTTCTCAGGCAGCCCTACCGGCTGTGACCCGGCCTTCCCGGGACCTCTCCCCTCTGGCCCTGGCCATGCAGGTCCCGGCATCATTACCTGCGGCCAGGACCTGTAACCAGTCAACCAACCAGATGGCCTCTTGGTCCAGCTGCCATGGCCCAAAAGAAGTTATCTTCTGTCCCTGCACCTCTGCCCGCACAGGGCAGAGCCCCCAGGTTCCTGGGTCAGGGTAGGAAGCCAAACTCACCTGGGGAAGTCCCCCAAAGAGGAAGGGCTGGAAGCGAGGCAGCTAAAACAAAGCAACAGTAGCAAATGCCCACTGTATGTCTAAGAGGCAATTTTATGGATGGAAATCGTGGAATGAGCTAGTCTTGTCTTTAAATGTAGAGAATATCTGGATTTAAAACATCACCTAGAGATGAATGCGAAGGCAAGACTCCCTGGATACGTCCTCCTGGGTGCAGGGGCCACACCAAAGCAAACGTTACAGATGCAACACCTGTGTGTGTGTGTGTGGGGGGGGGGACTATGCTCTACACAGACATTCAAAAAGGAAGAGAGTTGGCTTTTCAGTGGTGCAGTTCTTATCTCACGCAGATGGGAGGGTGCTGCAACCCAGGGGGACTTCATCAGAGGTCTGGTGAGACCTCAGGGATGTGGTGACATCTGGTTGTTGCTGATTGTTGGGGGGAGGCTTGGTAGAATGGCCCACGATGTCTCCTGAGGGCCCATAACTCCCTGAAATTGTGTGAAAAGGACGGCGCTTGTGTACATGTTCTTTCCTGGAGCAAGGTCGGGGCCTCCTGGCACCCTCTGACGACAACAAGCCCTGCTCTAGGATCACATTTCTGCAGCCCTTTCCTGAGGCTCCCAAGGCCTGATGGGATGCACCCCATTTCCATCTCCATCTGCTCAAGTCAGGCCTTCAGTCCCAGCTCGCAGCCTTCTGGTGCCTCCTCATCCCCTGCCGGTGTGAACATCAGCCGAAATGCTCCCTCCCTGCCACCTGCAGCCAGGGTCCTCACCTAGCTTGGTGTTTCAAGGGCATCTCATGGAACACATCCACACCAGCACTCTCGATCCACCCCCCAAGCTCCGCCCTCCCCCCAGCTTTCCCTTTCACAGTGAGGAGTACTCTTCTTTTATAAAAAGGGAGAACCGTGCAGTAATCAAGCACTGAGTTCAAATCTCAGCGTTTCCACTTCCTAGCTGTGTGACTTTTTGCAACTTGATTAACTCTCTGGGCCTCAGTTTCCTCTTCTATGAAATGGGGACAGTGATAAAGTACTGTGACATTTAAATAGCTTTAAAATATGTCAAGGATTTTAAACGGTGCCTGGCTAACAATGAATATGAGCAGTTGTCTCTCCCTTTCTCTAAAAATCATAAAAACATTTAAAAAGTGAAATAAAATGGGGTTACTATAACCAAGCTGCTGGAATTATTTACATCATCAAGGTGGGAGTATGAGGAAAGAGCCTGTTCTTGTTCCAACTAGCCTGGGAACGTAAACTTTTTGAACCTTCCTGTCCTGTGTTAACACCTGGATAAGCATCTGGACCTCAAAGGACTCACGTATGCATCCACTTGACATCTACCCAGACCACTGGGCGTGCCCAGGCCTCCTGGCCTCCGCCATCCTGCCTGCCCGACATCTGACTGATAACCCTCCTGGACCAACCCTAGGGCTAAGAATGCAGGACTGATAATTCTCAAGACTGTACTTTTTACTGTAAGCACTTTGGACTCCTCCCTCTTCTTTGGAACACTCCAGGATTTTGCCCAGCTGTGTTCCCAGTTTGCAAATTCTAAAACCCTTGGATACATCTCTATCATTTATTTCTAGCGAAGCCTCCAGACTCTTTTTGAGTTCATGCCACAGGCTTCATTTCTCTTTCCAAACCCATAGCAATTCCTGTCCTTTCCACGTCCAGACACATATCCCAAATCCAACCTACTGACCATCTCCTCTGCGGCTGGCCGACTCCACGCCACAGCGCCATGGCCACGGGTCCCCTGCGTCTGGGAGGTCCACCCTCCCCTCACCAGTTCTCCAAGGGGCAGAGTGATCTTTTAAAATGTCAACCAGGTCATATCCATCGTTTCCAGATTCAGGACATGTCACACCCCTCTCCTCCTTTGCCCTTGCTGTCCCCTCTGCCTAGAATAATGCCGAAATGGAGGAGGTGGGCTGGGGCTGTTGGCCTAGCGTGGTGAGGGGACATTCCTCTGAGGAGGTGACAAGTGGACACGCTCGAAGTGTTGGAGAAAGCCACGTGAATGCCTAGTGTGCGGAGCACAAAGAAACCAGGCAGTTCTTCAGCATCCCGCCCTGCCAGGGATGCCCTGTTGAAGCCCCCACCCCCCCGCGGGGAGGGATCCACGGCTGCAAGGTAGCCTCAGGCCTGGGGGTGCCGACCTGGGGCTGGAGGGCATCTGTTCAGGTAGCCAGTGCCACCTTCCTGTCCCACATCAGCCGGAGCACCATGCCAAGGGCTGCTGGCGGGCAGGACAGCGGTGGATTCAGGTGTTCTGTTAGCACCTGCCCCCTCTCGGAGCCTCCCTCCCCTCCTGGAGCCTGTCTGCTCCCACAGGGTGGGGGCGCTGCCTGTGGAAAGGGCTCCTTCGTTTGCTTTTGGGGGGCAGAAAGAGAGGGGCGCCAAGACCCATAGGACGGCAGGAGGGGTCCAGGGACTGAAGTATAACAAAGGCCAAGGGCAGCTCAGTGAATAATGTGCTTCTAAGTAATGTTGAGCCAGGACTCCAGGAGCCGCCTGGGGACAGTGCTGTCCTGGTTGGTTGTGCCACAGGCTGTCCAGCAGAATGCGGACACGTGGAGAAACTTAAAGCGCCTCTGAAATGGTAGATGTTGCCATCTTCGTCCCCACTATGGGTTCTACTACTATTCCGGTTTCTTCTCTGGCTAAAAGTGGTTTCATTCCTGGCACGGGAGAGAGGGCAACCTTACACCGCCATTGACGGGGCGCCAGGCATTGTTCTGACTGTCTGGTGATCTCTGCCGCGCGGTGGGAGGGGCGGCCGGGATCGCAGGGCGTGCAGTTCCCGTTGCGCCCACTGGGTGGCGCAGGCGCAGCACTTTGTCCGGAGCCTGAGCCCAGCCTGCAAACCCAGGACCCCAGGGACGCTGCAGCGTCACCCTGACTCAGTTCTGGTCCGACAGAGACCTTCCCTTTGCTTTCCAGCAACGTTTCTCCTGGGGGATTTGTATCTCATAGAGCAGGCTCCAAAGCCATGGGCTTGGCCACGGATGGACTGGAATGGGGTTAGCATTAGGGGAAAGGGGGGCTCTGGCTGAGTGAAGTGAGGAGGCACAAGGTGATCTGTGGTCAAGGACCGGCTAGTAGTCAGCCTGCCGCGTCCTGATCTTGGGGTTCCTGTGCTGGGGCGGGAATAGGAGGTGTGAAGGAGGCCCTCCCTGGTGAGGGGAATCAGGGGTGGAGATGGGGGGTCAGAGCAGCTGAGAGAGCAGGACCAGACATCTGGTCAGGTAGGGCCCAGGCTTGCTGCAATGGAGGGGGCTCTTCCCTGCCCCCTTCCCTTCCCCCACCCTTTCCTCTCCTATGTAAGACATCTTCTTGGTCTTTTCTGAGTTTCTCAGATTCTGGTGGGAACCAACTCTCCCATCTGCTTCTGAGTTGACCCCTCCTCCACACCGGGGCAAGGAACATTTAGCCCATGTGGACTTGGCTTTCTCTGTGTGGGAAGAGACACCAGAGGGGCTGAGCACTGGAGCTTCCTATGAACATTGTCAGGGGAAGCCGGAAAGTGGACCTGGGGACAGGTGTCTGAGGACTCATGGACACCTTCGGAGCGGGCACCGTAGGGCATAAAGCTGCCTCCCGCGTCTTTGGCACATCACACGGGACCTAGGATGCTTCTCTGTACCCAGCAGGCTGCTAATGAGGGTTTATGATCAGACCATGAAAGAGGGAGCAGAGACCAAGGTCAGAATACTGTGCCCTGGGCTGTTTGCAGAGTCCACCTTCTTCCAGGTTCTAATCCAGGAAGACGAGGGTGGGCCCAGGAAGCTGCATTTTTAACAAGCACCGTCAGTTGATTCTGAGGCATGGTGGGCAGGCCACCCTGGGGAAATGCCAGCCGGAGCGTCCGGGTACCAGTGTGTGGTGATGAGAAGCTGGGACCCGCAGCCCCACCGCTGTCTCTAGCTGTGTGTGGCTTCAGCCCCGAGCCTCACATCCCTGCCCTCCACCTTTTCAGTTTTCCAGTGCCGGTTTTTGTTTCTGTTTCTTTCCCTTGAATTCCCTGGAATGTCAGATTCTTTCAGAAGATAAGCGCTTCATTGGTGTTCGGAACCTGGAGTTTTAGAAACCTCCAGGCCGCTGTGTCGCGTTGGATACATTCTGTACGAAATGAAATGCTTGTGTTTGAGCCTCGTGTATGGATCCTGCAATCTGCGACCCTTCGTGTCCTTTTCTTAAATGGAGAGGTTCTGATCTGAACCCAGCCCAGCCCTGCCACGTCCACCCCCAGGTCTCTGAGCCTTCTGAACCCCCATCTCAGAGCTGTCAACCACAATTTCTTTCTTTTCTTTTCTTTTAAGATGCCTCGTGGAATCAGAGGGGCAGTTTTTTGGGGAGGTGTCGAAGAAGAAAAAAATAGAGAATGCCTAAATTTTTTTACTTCTACTAGAACTTAAAGTAAGTGCACTTCTCTGGGTTTTTGTTTCTGTTTTTTTTGTTTTCTCCTTACAACCCAACCTTCCATCGTAAAAATAGAAGGAGGACAAATTATACAGCGTCCTCGGCTGTGTATTTTATTACTGCATTTTCGAGAGCAGTATTTGGTAGTCACTCCGATAATCTGAGGGCTGAGGTCTGCGAGAGGGAGTCAACACCACCTTGCCTGGTGTCTGCCCTCTAGTAACCCCGTGGGAGGGACATGGCCCGGGAAGGGATCATCACAGAACATTAACGAGGCGGCGGCTGGGGCTGGCGCCCAACGCTTCCGAGACAGAAAACAGTAACGAGGCCCCGCAGGCCCATTGTCTGCTGGAAGAGGGGTGAGGAATGGGAAAGGTCTCTCTGCCTTCCCCGCAAATACAGGGCCTTGCTCTGCTGCGCCTGGTTGCCGGCTGGGAGGCAGGGAGCTTGGAGACGGTCGGACCTGGCCCCGGAGGCATCTCGGACCTCTCAGAAGGCTGGGGGTGGGTGGTGCACTTTACTCGTTTTCTGAAACTATATTTTGAAGTTAAATTTGGTCATGTTTTCTCCGATAGGTAATGGGGCTTCGGGAAAGATCATGCATTTCTTTGCTTGTGTGGAGGCGCTGAGCTAGCGGGGACCCCCTGCCGCAGAAACCGCAGAGAAGTCGCTCTGTGCAGCCCTGGGCTGTCGGGGACCCCCACCAGCTGTGCCGGACCCTCATGAGCACAACCGAGGGCCCAGGACAGGAGCACCCCACTGGGCCAGGACGTGCGTGGGCCCTTCAAGGTTTATTCTGACCCCGGAGCGCCAAGTGTGACATTTCCACTTTAAATATCATCCTGGGCGGCCGGGGTCCTAGAACATCGAGGCCCCCAGGGCGGAAGAGGAGTTCGGGGACCAAGCCGGGCTGCCATTCAGTCCAAACCCTTCCTTCTGCATCACAGCTTATGGGATCGAAAAGCCAGGACAGTCATCTTGAGCTTTTTTACTGGAGACCCCAGACCTCTGTGTCCCCCTCTCCTCTGCTTCCATTCTGGGGCTGCATGAGCCAATTGTCATTTCGTGCCCTACACCGAAAAAGAAACCGCAGTTATAAACACAAACACTGCCCGGGTCGAGCTCTGGCCCCCGGGGAAGACCAGTCCTACAGGACAGCGATGCAGAACCTGGGGATGCTTTCCTAGCTCCCAGGACGGTATTTTATTTTTATTTTTAATTAATCAATTTATTTTTGTTACAGATGTTTCTCCTCTTCCCCCCACTGATTTCCCCCTCCCCCCCTCCCTGCCCTGTCCCCAGCTTTGTTGTCCATGACCTTTGTTCATGCACACATGCATATAAATTCTGTGGTTTAATCTCTCCCCCACCACCCTCTCCTCTGGGGATTGTCAGTCTGTACCCCACTTCCACATCTCTGGGTCTACCCCATTCCTCAGACTGTTATGTTCAGTATATTCCACAAATAAGTGAGATCATATGATACTTGTCTTTCTCTGTTTGGCTTGTTTCGCTTAGGATGATACTTTCCAGGTCCCTCCATGTCGTCTCAAAGGATAAGAGATGTTTCTTTCTTACAGCTGCATAGTACTCCATTGTGTATATGTACCACAGTTTTTTTATCCATTCGTCTACTGGTGGACATTTGGGCTGTTTCCACATCTTAGCTATTGTAAATAGTGCTGCTACGAGCATGGGGGTACATATATTCTTTCTGATTGGTGTTTCAGGCTTCTTAGGGTATATTCCTAGAAGTGGGATCACTGGGTCAAATGGCAGTTCAATTTTTAATTTTTGGAGGTAACACCGTATTGTTTTCCATAGCCGGGATGGTATTTTAGAGATGGACGGAGAAAACAAAAATATTCCATCTCCGACCTGTTGCTTGTTCAGGACCAAGCACATGACAAAGGGGTCGTTCTGGGCCACCCCCGGAAGGCCAGGGGGACAGGGCCTGTGCTGCGTAGACACGACCCAGAGCAGCCTGTTTCAGACAAAACATGTTGTTCTGAAACTGCTGAGACCCTCTTGGCCCTGGAGGGTGCAGAGCTCCCCTGAACATTTTAGGGGCCACTGATGCGCAGCGGCGACGGCAGGTCGTGAGACGGTTGTCTTTGAGGGCCACACAAAAATGAGATGGCAGAAAAGTGAGGTCTTACCAGGGTGGCTTTCTGGACAAAAACTTAAAATGTCCAAGGAAATACACGATGCGCTGACAGTGGCAGGACGGGAAAGGGCCGCCCTGGGGCCTGGTGTCACCCCTGCGTCTGAGGCCTGGCCCGGCCCTGCTTCCTCTCCCGTCTGGAACCCCTCTCAGGCTTTCACTGTGTGTGGAAGACACCATCGCGTCCGGAAGGGTGCGCTCTTCTGTTTGAGCGGGTTTCTTTCTCTGCTCCCCAGTTTGCGGTCAGGGGCTGCGTCTTCAGTGGGGGGAAGGAGAATGCCCCATGACAGCGCCTTTCCATCCAAGCAAGAGCGGTTCTGGCCCTGGTGCAGCATGTTCAACGTAGAAACCCACATCCTACCTTCTAGAACATTCTCCAGGTGCCCAGGGCCACGGAGGTCTGTCCTTCCTGGGTGGCCCATGTTGCCAGTTCATTTGCAGGGGCTCTGACAGTTTGGGCGCAGAGCTGAGTGTCCTCATGGCTGTCGGTGAGACCTTTCGTGGTGCCAGAGCCTGGTAGGAAGAGGGGGTCGGGCTGGGGTCGGGCTGAGGCCGGGCGCCAGAACCATCTCCCTGTGCCACCACGTTCTAGAGCGGAGTTCCAAGGAGGCCAGGACTTCCTAGCCTTGTGCTGCGCTGAGAAACTTGAAAGGCAATGGGTGAGGGCACCTCGTGGGTACAGGTTGCCTGGCTGGGAGCGGGAGGGGCGAGGAGAGGCTCCCCCAGGGAACGCGGGCTTCCACTGAGCGCTCTCCAAGCCACAGACCTTCGAGGCAGCCTGGCTGTGTCCTGGGCAGCTCAGTTTAATCCCGAAACCCTGAAAGCTGCTGAATTCTCGTCTTGCTATTGCTGTCACCAACTGGGAGCCAAGAAAAAGTCACCAAAATAATGAAATGCCTCGCTAAGCTTGAAAACAGAACCATGGGGACTTGCTAAATAAACAAGTTATGGAAAAACTAAGTGGAATGGATTCAAAGACTGTTCCAAGGTGGACATAATGTTCAACAGGGAGTTTAAGCCGAGGGGGCGACTGGGAAAGAAAGGCACCCACGTGGATCCGAGACTGCAACAAGGCTCCATCCCCAAACAAATGTGCGTTATTTGTAGTAACTTTCATACGCTGTTGTATTGATTTAAAACTCAGCGTAACTTCATTCATTTAGATGTCCCTCATTTCGAGTGCGGGTAAATGCTCGCGGTTAGGCTGGACGGACACTCTTTTTACTACCTAAAAGCTTTACTAAGAAAATTCAGGGGACAAACAACAGTGCAAGGGGGAATGTTAGGTTTAATTAAGAAATCAGCTCTTTAGAAGACGTTAGCACGATAATTGTTGATGGGTGGACGGTGCTGTGAATTATGAATGAGTCATTCATTCTTTGATGGAGGCTGACCGGGCTCTCCTCTCAGGACGAGGAGCCTTGTGGGTAGTCGGAAGGTCGCCCATTGCATCTCATCATCATCAAGCAGTAATGACGGGGTCCTCCTGACAACAGGGCACATGTGTTGGGTGTTTATTACACGTGGGCCCCTTGGTTGCTGCTTTGTGAGCATTGAGCCCTCACGAAAGGCCTGTGAAGTATCAGGCACTAGCATTGCGGCCATTTTACAGATGGGAAAACTGAGGCACTTGGAACCTAAGTGCCCCGCCCAAATGACCCAGCTGAATGAGTACTTGGGAAAGAAAGACGGACACACCAAGCTCTCTGCCTTTATGAAATTTACTGTCCAGTATCTTTTGAATGTCGTCAGTTTTCTAATTTTAATAAATTCAGACCAGCTTCATCTTCCAGCTGATCCAAGTTTGGTGAGTTTCACTAAAAGAGAGCAATAGGAGAGTGTTCTAACCAGTTGACTGTCGCCACCTATTATAACAGGAACGAGGGCAAAGGGCCAATGGGATCTCCAGTCCGCACTCGGGAATCGACTCCCCGAAGAACATTCTTATTTCCAGATCGCGATGTGGTATTTATTACACCCAAGCAATGACAAAAACACTAATGATTCTGTAACAAAACCTCAGGGAAGCTATTAACACGTTGGCACTTGTAATTCATGTGGAAATGTTCATTTTATTTATCAGAATTGTGGCAATGGGTGTTCATGTAATTAAGAGGCTGGTACACTGGAAGGGCAATTTCGAGAAGTTCATAATATTGCAGTCAAGCATGAATTTTAAACTCAAAAGAAAATTGGTTAAGCATCTAAGTGACAGCTTAATTTTCCCGTGTCCCTCTCGTCTTACATGGCTCGAGAGCTGTTTAACAAAGGAATTAGATAAATGTGTTGTATCACTTAATAAGATGTTTTATGGCAAATTCATTTAAATGGTAACTACCAGGCTCATAAATACGTAGCCAAGAAATATTTCGATAATAACTAAGGAGAACCGTCTTGCGTCTCAGAGGCAGAGTAAGATCGAGTTTTTTCGACTGCAAAGAAAGCTTTGGCGGAGTCTAATCCATGCGATCGGCAGTGTACAGCCAAGAAGGCTCGAAAAGCAGGTTTGAATGAGGAGGAACCCAGCAAAGGCAGAGAATGGGAACAATGGAAACCGAGGGAGACAAAGAGATCAGAAAAGGTGGCCAAGGAGAACACCCACCATCGGTGACTCACACCTTCACCGGGAAGCTGCTCAGCTGGCCAAGCCCTGAGGTCTGGTTATCTCTCCGGCCCAAGTGTCTGCAGGTGGGTGTGCCGCTTCCGGGGCCCCGCCTTCCTAAGCCACCTGTCTTTAAGGTCTGGATTCATTTGTTCGCAGTAAGCACTTAGGTACCATTAATTTTGGGTCAGGTGCTGAGTCAGGGGGCACACCTGTGAACAAGGAGAGCCGGTCCCTGGCCTGTAGAGCTGACATTCTGGTCAGAGGAGTCAGTCTGTAAACAAGTAGATAAACAATTGTGAGAGATGCAGGTGGTGATCTGGGCTGTAGAAAATGAAGCAAGGTGAGGGACTGAGTGTGCTGGAGGGACAGAGGGGCTATTTAAATAGGTGATTAGGGAAGGTCTCTATGAGGTGACCTCTTAGCAGGGAAAGAGCCAGCTATGGGAAGCTCCAGGGGAAAGCACTCCAGACAGAGCAAGTGCAAAGGTCCTGGGGCAGGAAGGAATTCAATGGATGAGGATGAGCAAGGAGGTGCCAACACAGCTGAACTTCACAAGAAGAGAACGTGGGAGATGAGGGTGGAGGAGTCACAGGGGGCAGACCGTGTGGCCTTTGAGACCATGGCCAAACTCTTGGATTCTCTTCCAAGTGGAATGGGATATCACTGAAAGATCTGAAGCAGGGAAATGATAAAATAGTCTTGCATTTGTCAGTTATTACTCTGCCTACTCTGTGGAGATTGGGTTAGAAGAAGAAGAGAGGAAGGTGAGTGAAGAGAGTAACCCATCAGTATCCTCTTCCTCCCACAGAGATGCCGGCGGGCATGGGTCTGTGACCCCGCTGGGGCTGACGTCTGTCCAGGGGGTGTTTGTGCTGTGGAAGTTAGGGCAGGGTCTCCCTCCTCTCTTGGGAATTGAGCTATAACCTCTGCCCCTGGAGGAGCCAGAGGAGCGGAGGGGCCGGGATGGGGGTGGGCAGCATGCAGGCCTACCTCACCCCCTGACGTGCCAGGGCTGCCGCTCCCCTCAGCTCTTCCTCCGACTCCTCAGCCCTGCAGAGGGCGTTCCAACAGGTGCGTGGAGGTTAGGGGTGGAGGAAAATCAAGAGAGGGAGGGAGACCTGGCCTTGGAGCTGAACGTGGGTGGGATCCGAGGGGAAGGAAGCAGAGACGGTGTGGGCTCTTGGCCCCGGGATCTCAAGCAGAGAGGGCTCCGTGACCCCGGCAACAGGACAACTGCATGTTTTCTGTCTCGACATCCAAGCTGTTCACTTCCCTGGTGACAGTGCAGCTGCGGGACATGGGAACAGCACACCCGATAACAATTCTGAGTCGAAACAGTCGGAACGGTGGTGCAACAAAGAAACCAGAGAACAAACAAGGACGGTGCCTTCGTGTGCGTAACATATGAGGCCAAGAAACACGAGTGTACACGCTTTCCTTTCAAATGCAGGGAAAGGGGATCCTGGAGTTTCTCTCCACATTCTAATGGAAATGAATCCGGATGAGCAAAATATCACAAAAGCTGTCTTTTTCTGGCGTCATCCTCGTGTTTTATTGTCGTGAATGATGCATCTTCATAAAGGCGTTTATAGCTTCTCTCTTGCCTCAACTCCCAACTCTTTTTTATAAAAAGGGTTTAAGTTTCTCAGCCACCAACTGTCTGTCCACCCCCGAAGTTTCACCCAGACCCCGCTGTCTCTGTTCAGTACGGCTCAAGTCAGGGGCCTGCAGGGAGAGAGGGCTGCTGAGTCTGGGGGTCAGTGTGCATTTGCAGAGGCCTGATGGCCAGTCTGCACCAGGGAGGGGGGGAAGAGGAGGAGGTGGATCCAGAGACAGGGTAGGGTCAGGGTTCAAGGTGGGCTGTGACTGGATGGGGGAGGGGAGGACGCCGGCAGGGGGCGGTCCAGGCTCTTCCAGGAGGATGTGAGGCTCTTACACTCTAGGGGAGGGTCCCGAGCACCTCTCCTGCTGGCTCCAGCTGGCTCTGCTCCGCTGACAGCAGCTGTCCTCCTGGGGACAAGCCAGGCCACTCCCTGGGAACTAGGGTTCCAGCTGCGCCCTGTCCTCCAACACGGCCTCTCCTTGGCCCCTGCCTGATCGTTACCAAATGCGAGGTGTGGCCGAGTCCTGCGGCAGGACAGCCCGTGGAAACCACGGCTGGTCCCAAAGGGCTGTCGTTCAGCCCCGGACTCGCTCAGTGCAAACACCTGCCCTGACATTCCCGGGGCCCTTCTTCCGGGGATTTAAAATGCTCCGCTCCGCCTGGGCTTCGTGACCCTGGGACTTTTTAAAGATGATGTGCACAGGGGTTGTCAATTAGAAATCTAAAAGTTACTTTTCTTTTTCATCTACGTGTCATGTAGTAGGAGAGCACTAATCTCATTTATGGACGTGGATCACGCCTGGGTCTGAGTGGCTCGCTGAGCTACAGATTCTAACCTGAAGCTGCTCCTTCCTCGTGGGTTTGTCCTTTGTGTTGAGGGAGGCCACATGCTGCAGGTGGGGCCCGTGGGCTTAGGAGACCCTGGCACCTCGACAACCTCACCTGAGACGTCTGCCTCCTGCTGGCTTCGAGTTCATGCAGGAGGAGGGGCAGCCTCCTCAGCCCCGCTCATTCTCGCCAGCATCTGGGCGTCACTGTGGGAAGGGAGGGTCCTGGACCCTCGGTCCACAGACTTCACAGAGATGACAGACTCTTTCTGCAGATGAGGTAGGAAGTGGGGATCGGGGTCAAAGTGATTATCCGAACTCCCCCGAGCAATGTATCTGTGGCCAGGGTTGCGTTGGGCGTCACTGGGAGGCATAACTCAAGGCAGCCAAGGTGTGGGGACCGGGGCAGAGATGAGGCGGGGAAGAAGGACAGCAGATGCCAGCGAGCCCTCGCTTCACGAGGGGACGCCACAGCCGTTCGCTGGGTCACCCGGTGTCTCCCAGGGCTCCAGGGGCCCTGCCGCCCTTCCGAGTGGAGAGGGAGCGAAGGGATGTACCTGCGGATTCTTTCCATCTTCTGTCTTTCACGGTCCACGATCTCTCCATGGGGTTACCCCCGGCTCGGAGCCACGGCGCCTGCCTTGCCAGGGGGTCACTGGGGGGCAGCCCTGTGCCCACCTTTTGTTTATTAAGACCAGGCCTGGCCTCAGAGGCCCCGTGGTCCCCCCGCTGGGAGGAGCAGGGAGGGCAGGACAGGGGTGCCGGCAGACCCGGGAGACACGGAGACTGGTGGTTCCGTGGCAAACGAGGAGTTGGGAGTTTGAGAAAGGAAGTTATTCTTTGCCTTTGCCCGGAAACGGGCCCCACGAGAACTCCAGGCGCCGCTGACAACTTCTCTCCAGACTCGCCTCTGTCCTTAGCACCATGGGGAAGTCGTGGGCCCAAACGTTCAAACGTCCTCGCTGACAAACAGCCCCAGCTCATTGCCCTGCCGAGCTCGAATGGTTGCTGTGTGACCTTATGAAAGCCGCTTGACCTCTCTGAGCCAAGAGGGCAGTTTCGTGAGGTCAGGGTAATACATACAGAACGGGGGTCTCCCGATAAGGCAAAGCAATAGGGACTGTGTGAGCGCTTTTAAAACCCTGCTGCACCCTGCAAGGCGTGGGGGTGGTTATTAGTGCTCCCCTCCGCCCCCACCCCCACCCCTCACCCCCCCGCCTTCTTGCTGGACCACACACCATTCCTCTTGAGAACCTCTGGCTTCTCTTGTGACCCTCCCAAGCTTGTGGGCTTGGTCCCAGCTATGTTTCTAGCAAGTCTCCCTCCCGTTCTGGCCCCCAACCCGGTGCTCCTTCAAGCTCATCCGTCCCTGAGGCCACCTGTCCTTGTCACTCCATGGGGGAGAATTCTGACAGTCATCAGGGATCCTAGTCTTTGGGCTATGATGGTTTGCTAGGGCAATGCTTTCACAATTAAAAAAAAAAAAAAGCTTCATTGAGTAAGCTCGCCACAAGGACCAGCGTGCTGGAGCCAAAGGAGCTTGCCTGGGAAAGGCAGGTCCAGCTGGACCCAGAGTCTACATTCAGGCTGAAAAGAAAGGCATCTCGGCTGGCTCATGTCATTGCCAAGCCCACCCCCTCACCCTTTCCTGTGCGCACCTCACTGAGGCTCCAGGACCCGTGCAAAGTAGGAAGGCCATGTCCGTTTTCACGGTGAAGCCGGAGGTTCAGAAAACAGCGATTTGCCCGAGGCCCCGAACAGCCCGTCCGAGGCCAGGCCAGCTGGGAGCTGCCTTCCCGCTCCGGGTACTTCCTCTTACACCTCCATCCTTTGTTTTGCCGCGTCCCTGTTCCCTTCATTCTTAACTCACAAGAACTTTTCTCCCCTGGGATAGTGGCCCGGCGTCCGACCGGTGCGGGTGTTCTTGGTGACACAGTTTCTCTAACTCACCGAGGAGGCCAGTCACAGAACCATGCAGCCGTTAGGGCTCAGCAGGGACCACGTGGGCATCTCCGCCTTGAGCTCCCTGGAGAAACGAGCCAATGGCTCCGCGCTGGTTGAGGGATCCTGGTGATGCCACGACCTGCCCCAGAGTTCGGAGCAGAAGAAAGGTCCAGGGTCTCTCCCAACTCAACCCCATGTTTGGGGGCTTCCCTTGGGTGGGGGCCCCCAAGCTGCACCCTCCACCTCCATCCCTAGAGGGTAACAACAGGTCTCCACTGTGCTGAATGCTGTTCTGCTGGGTTCTGTTTTCCTGCGGGCACCGTGCAAGGTGGTGGTATTTTGAGGGGAGCTGGAGGATGGGAGTGGAGTGAGCAGGGGCTAAAGAAGCGGAAAAGGAGAGTCAGGGAGGAATTCGGAGAAAGAGCAGAGATGCTAAAGGGGGTGGAGTGGCTGTGTGATGTAATGCGTTCTCCTGGGTTTCCCTCTGAACAGTTCCGTCAAAGTGAGGTTACTAATCGGTGCTTTGGGAGTTAATGGGGGAGGGCAGGGGGAGGACAGAGTGGGCTGAGACTCGTTGGGCATGAGGTAAAAATTGGGGCAGCCCTGGCCAGTGTGACTCAGTTGGTTGGGCGAGGTCCCAGAAGGTTGCCGGTTTGATTCCCCGTCAGGGCACATGCCCGGGTTAAGGGCTCCATCCCTGGGGGGGGGG